AATAAAGTTTTCAGATTACTTGGTTTATCACTAATTTTTTCTTCATACTAAACAATCTATAGGACCCAAAATACTTATTGGACATGCACTTTTTATCGCGCTATGTTTTTTCTGGCTTGTTCCTATAACTTTTATATCCACATTTGCTCAAGTCAAAAACATTGAATATATTTTTCCATTTACGAGGGGTTTAAGTAACAATGGGTTTATCTCTGGCCTCTTACAAGCCTGGATGACACCACTTCTATTGGCTATATTTTTCCTTATATTGCCAACAATTCTTCGTCAGCTTGCTAAACAACAGGGAAAAATAGCTAAATCCTCACTTGACCGGTCTACGCTTGGGAAATTGTATTTGTTCTTCATAATAAATAGTATCATTATTTATACTAGCGCATCAACAATCATTGATACATGGACAAAAATTAGGATAAAGATTGATGAAGGTGATACAAATTTACGTGATTTTTATTTAGTCCTTAAACAATCTAAATTCCTTGACGAACTTGCGGATTCGATGATCAAAGTTTCTACTTTTTGGATCAATTATATTTCTTTGCGTGGTGTTGCTGCAGTATTTGACTTGGCTCAAGTTGCTTCTTTGGTGATGAAGTTTATACAAAAAAGAATCGTTAGATCTACTCCTCGAAATCTTAAAGAATTTTCGCGTCCTCCGGATTTCGATTACCCTGTATATTATAACCTTCATCTATTTTTCTTTACCATCGGAATTCTATATAGTGTCATTGCGCCTTTGATTCTATTATTCTGTTTTTTTTATTTTGCATTGGCCTATCTAATATATCGTTATCAACTAATGTAAGTATTACATGGAATTTTAAAACACAAAAAGCTATTATCACTATGATGTTGGAAGTTATGCTCAACAATCATATGACTTGCTTCAATTTTCAAATTGCTAAAACTTTTACAACTTTTTTACAAAAAAAAATTTTTTAAACTCATTCTGTAACTTTATAAGCAAAAATAAGCTACAAAGTTACTAGGCAGTTTTTTTTTTTTAAAAAAAAAAATTTCTTTTATAAAAAGTTTAAGCGATTTTGAAAATTGATATGAGTTCAATGTATGTTTCAACACTATATCAACTTTAAACCCCATCAACTCATCGAAGATGCAAATTTTGAAATACTGGCCAGTAATTTTGTTATTTACAATTTCTCTATAAAATTATCGGCCTTCATCTATAAAAGTTGATTTATAGTCACGGGTTTATTTATATAAACAATAGTTATTATACTAAAAACTGATATAAATTATTAATATTATTTTAGGTACGTTTTTACAACAAAAGTTGAAACAGCAGGTTCATTTTGGCGATTAGTTTTTAATCGCATTGTTTTTTCAACGATATTTTGGCAACTTGCGATGGTTGGAGTGATGAATTTGAAAGGAGCTGGTATTCAGTCTATTGTAGTCCTACCACTTCCATTTCTCACAATATTATTTAAGATTATTTGTAACCGTCGATTTGATCAAAAAATTCGATATTATACCCCTACTGAAACATATTTGGAAAATGTAATGAATGAAAAGAAAGATTTAGATCATTTGTATGAAAAAGTTTCTACAAGATTTGACCATCCATCATTAACAGCTGAAATAATTACGCCGATGGTTCATTCAAATGCTAAAGACGCATTAAGTAAGGTTTATCATGGACGTATGAGTGAAACAAAAGTGAGCCGACGAGGAACTATAAAGTCTATGTCGATGTTTTTCGAAGGAAACAATGCATTAAAAATTCAGACTGTAGAAGAAAATGAATTAGAAGTTGATGACGACGCATATCTTGAGGAGCAAAATCCTGGATATTACACAAATCAAGATGAATCACAATCTTATTCATTACCTCAGAATCAACAAATGTCAACTTCTTAGTAATGCAATTTGTATTATTTTCTTATCTACATGTTATATAAAAATTATCTTTAAATTAATTTCATTCAATCATGCATAACAAAATTAGTATCCTGATTTTTCTTAGGCAATCAATTGTATATTGCATATTAATATTTAGTTAGAACACTATTTTTATTTAATAGGAAAATTTAGTTTCTTCACATTTTAGTATATACAGTACATACAGTACATACAGATTGAAATTTTTTTTTGTAACAAAATATCAATAACTGCATTTTTTTTTGTTTTCAATTATAGAAAATTTGTCGTTATATTGTCATTGTTCCGCATAATTGTTTATAATTTACTTGTTATTCATTAATTTAAAAATATCCTATAAAACGCTGATGATGTA